ATAAGCACCCCCTCCCCATAAAGCCTTATGGGGTACACTGTCACACCAGTGCTTAACCATCTTTACAGTTAGAAAGTTTTTCCTGATATCTGACCTAACCCTTCCTTGTTGCAGGTTAACCCTGTTACTACTTGTCCTACCTTCCGTGGACATGGGAAAAAATTGATCACTGACATCTTTATACCCGCCCTTTACGTATTTGAAGACACTTGACAAATCCCCCCTCAATCTTCTTTATTGAGGGGATGCCAGAGTCACATCATGACCAATTTAAGGCCATTATATAGAAGGAAGAGGTAGTGGCAAGGACACTGCTGCAATCTGCCCTTGATGCGGCAGACAAAGCAGCTAGGTCCATCTCCACAGTAATGCAACAAGCGTCATGGCTCTCTGTTGGGTTTTCCAAAAGAGATGCAGTCAACTGTTGAGGACCTCCCCTTTGAGGGCACAAAGCTCTTCGCAGAAAAGACTGATGCCTCCCTTCGCACCCTGAAGGATTCCATGGCTACTCTCTGGTCACTGGGTATCTACAATATCAGCCCAAAGGCTGTCTAAGTGGGTCTCAAATTGCATTAAACAGTGTTACCAAGCTCACAACATGAGGGGTAATTGTTCCACTCTGTTCAGCACTGGTGAGGCTTCAGGCTCAGGTACTCTGTTCAGTTTTGGGTGCCACACTTTAAGAAAGAGATGGACAAATTGGAGAAAGCCCAGAGGACAGCAACAAAAATGATAAGATTTAGAAAACATGAGTTCTGAGGAAAGGTTAGAAAAAAGTTGGCATGTTTAGTCTTGAGAAAGGAAGACTGAGGGGGCACTTGATAACTGTCTTCAAATATGTTAAAGAGTATCATAATGAGGATGGTGATCAATTGTTTTCCATATCCACTGAAGGTAGAATAAGAAGTAACAGCGTGGGAGGTTTAGGTTAGATATTAGAAAAACTTTCTAACTGTAAAGATAATTAAGCACTGGAATATGAAGAACAGGATGGACAAACACCTATTAGGTATAGTCTAGGTTTACTTGGTCCTACCTCAGTATGGATGCGGGATTGGACTAAGTGATTCTATAATTATTCCAGTAGCTCAGCCTTCTTTTCTATAATTCAGTTTTAACTATTCTGTGTTTCCTTGCAAACTAGTCTTAACATCTTCTTGCCCCAGATACTCATCTGATCATGCAATAAAGGCTTAGATTTAAGATGCTTCATTATATCTAGTCAAAATGTTGGCACATTGTTAGGTAGTATTCACTGATTTATGCAGAATTGTGCTAAGAGCATTTTGAAATGAATGGTTTTTCTAAAAGTCTTTATGGAATTGTTAATTCTGAACAGTTTCAAGAATTTGCCAGCATTACTGTGTAAAACAAAAATCTGTTTTAAGATAAACTGGTGTTCCTTCTAATATATATTTACAGAGCTGGTTCTGAAATTGATTATGCATATTATTATTTATTTGTATTATCGTGACACGTAGTTGCCCAGGTCAAGGACCAGGACCCCATTGTCAGAAGAAAATCTAATTATTAGACGAGAGACAACAGATGTATACAGCCAAACCAATGGGAGTGTACAAGTAAACAATGAGCCGGTACTAGTCAGCATGGTAGGCTGTGGTCTGAGCACACTAGCATCCTAACTATTGTCACACTTTTTGTAGGCTTTATGACAGAGTAGAGTTTTAAGGAGAAATTTGAAGGAGGATGTTGAGTTAGTTTTGTGGATGTTTACAGGGAACCTCCTTCAAA